TTCCTTTCCCCATCATTCAGTTAGAATTGAAGAAGCTTCCTTTTTTTTCAAGGAAAAAAACCCAAGAAAATCCAGTTGCCTTTTGAAAAAGCACCTTTGGGACAATCTTGAAGGTCTGGTTATGTGCCCAGGCTTGTGGAGGGGGGGGTCTTGAGTATGTGGAAGGTTATTTATTTCTTGCTTATCTTAACATCTATGGATCATATTTTATTAGTTGATGTATGGATTTAATTTTCAATATTGTGATTGTAATTCATTTTCTAATTGATTTTATGATTGCCCACCATCCAGAGTCACTTGATTGAGATGGGCAGCCATACACATTGAAAACAAAATGCAATAAAATAACCAGGCAAATTCCAGACTTCTTACTCCCACCTACTGCTCCCCGTGGAGATTCGAACCCTCACTACCCTCCAGGCCTTCCGCAAAGCCCTTAAAACCTGGCTGTTCCGACAGGCCTGGGGCTAAAGAGCTTTTGCCCCCCGCCCCCTCGAATGGTATGGTTGTTGTGTGCGTTTAAATTGTGTATTGTTCTGTTCGTCTTTTTTATTCCTTATCTGTACCCCCCCCCCTTGACTTGGATTGTGAGCCGCCCTGAGTCCCCTTTGGGGAAAAGGGCGGCATAGAAATTCAATAAATTCAATTCAATTCAATAAATAATTTGTCATGTCTTCTTTTAAAACTATTTTCAGTCTTAGGTTGTCCTACTGATTTCCCAATCAAATATGAACAAAATTTGACTCTGCTTAGTTTTTCAACTAAAGTTGGCCAAGTTTAATTAATTAAACCAAAACTTTAGTGTAATTTGGACATTTATCCTAAACAAATTCTCATTGATCCAGGAACATACAAAAAACTAAATTACAACACTTTAGAGGAAATGTTTTTTTCAATTTCCCCACCTTTACTTGTGATATAGTAGCTTCAGACATCACAAGCCAACACTGGAATAATAAATTTTATGTATCTGACATACCTAGATTGGGGTTTAGGTTGCAATTTTTCTGAGAAGTTACCTTATATGAAATGAGACATTCCCTGTATCAAACCCAGAACTATTTTTTCTGTTTGATGATGCCTTACCAGGATCTCAACCCAAACCTTTTTTAAATTTCTTGCTACTTATTCCTTCTAAATGAAGAAACTATAGATAGAAGATACATTCTTCTGTTTTAAAATATATATTTTTCATTCCCTCCCCCTCCACTTCCATTCAATTGTATCCAGTTCTCAGACTGCCTGGACAAGTCTCTGAGTTTTGCAGTTCTCTTGGAAAGGTTTGCTATTCCCTTTTTCTTAGGGCCTGAGATAAAGTGACTCACTCAGCTGGCTTAGTGTCTAAGGCAAGACTAGAACTCATGGTCTCCCAGTTTTTTTAAACCTGAAGTTTGAACCTCTACACCAAACTGGCTATTAAATATAGAACTCCCAAATTCACTATTTTTAAAATCATTGTTAAAAAAGTGGAAGTGTTATTTTTGCATTAATACATGCATGACTCTTCCAAGAACAAATGACCTCAGATCTAGACAAGTTTCATTCTATGTGGTAATGATTGCTTAAGACTTGTCTTATCATCAAGACTTTATGTACAAACCATCTTGTAATTTTCTGGAATTACATATACACACATACATACATGCATACATACACATAAAACTACACACACACACTACACTATATATGCTGGTCTTGTTGTATTTGGGTCTTTTCAATCTTACATGGGATACAACAAGACCAGCATACCTATGAAAACAAATACACACACACATACACACACACACATACATGCAGGTTTTGGCGTATTCAGATCTTTTCCCATGTAAGATTGAGAGTATCTTGACAACGTTTCGATGAGGTCCCACTGGTCATCTTCAGGCTGGTGCCTTCGGCTTCGTGCTTGTGTGAACAAAGTGTGATCGGAGCTGCTGTCTTTCTAAAAATATTGGGGTGTGTGTGTGTGGAGTGCTGGCTTTGCTGCTGTAAGAGCTGGGCAATGGGCTGTGTGATGACATCCTGAGCTCTATTGTAGTGATATCCTGAGTCCTGTGCTGAAGCCAAAGTCCTGTGCTGAAGCCGAAGGCATCAGTCTGAAGATGACGAGTGGGACCTCGTCGAAACGTTGGCAAGATACTCTCAATCTTACATGGGAAAAGACCCGAATACGCCAAAACCTGCATACCTGTACCCGTGAAAATCTACAAAAACAAACACGCACACACACATACATACATATGCACGCGCACGCGCACGCGCGCACACACATACACACATGCTGGTCTTGTTGTATTCGGGTCTTTTCCCGTGTAGATTGTATGCACACAGACACACACAATTTGATAATTTCTGATAAAGAAAATGCTCTGTAAGGTTTTTATATTAAGACATATTCTGTTTCTGTTCATAGTTCTTTAAATTGAAGCCACTGCAGCCATCTCCCTCTCTTTCTCTTTAAATATAATAAATGTTGCCTCATTTTCTATGGTGTTTACAGTGTATACCGTAACCTCGCTTTTTTGTATATGTTTAGATTTTCTAAACCAGATTTAGATTGTCCATCCTTTAAGACTCATGGAATGCAACTCTCAGAATTCTAGGAGTTGAAGTCCACAAGTCTTAAAATTGCCAAGGTTGGAGATCCCTGGTCTAAACTATTATCTAAATACTTTACAATGCAGATGATTATGACCATCAATTGCCACTGTGTGAAACTGCACACCTTAGTGAGAATTTGGTGTTTGGGCCTACAGGTGTTACCAATATGCAGTGAGGCACTGGAAGAAATGAGAAATTGTGAACAACTACCTGCCTTCAAAAAATAGTTTAAAAAGGAAGAAAAAAAGAAAGTGCCCAGTAATTTAAAACAAATTTTCTTCATTCAAATCTTTTAGCTGATTCTTCAACACATTTTATTGAAAGCAAGGTCAACTGATTTTTTTCCTGTCATCTTTTTTAAAAAAAAAAACAAATGTAATACAGTGGCTGCAATGAAATTTGTGCACGGTAAAAAGGACAAAGTTAAGCTAAATAGTTAAATACAGAATGCAGGAAAAGGACTGCTCAAAGACAAAATGTAAAAGAGGAGAAGTAGATGATATAAGCTGATTTGGGAAGATACTGTGATAGACTTGACTGCGGAAAGATAAAGTGGATGATTTGAGGATTTGAACAACCATCCCTGAAAGAATGATGGAGAGTGATTGCAGATGCTTCCTCCTAGGCATCAGAATTGTGAAATATCATCTCTTCAAAGCTGAGGACAAGTGGAATCTGAAAGAATGGTGATTCATAGAGATGTTTGAATATATTAGAGCAACTTGACACAAGGAGATGTGGATGGAAAAGAATAGTGGCTATGAAGTTACTTTGTAACTTTAAGAGCCAAGGTGGCGCAGTGGTTAAATACAGCACTGCAGGCTACTGCTAGATCAGCAG